AGCTGAGGCTCCAGTACTTTGGCCATCTCATGAGAAGAGAAGACTCCTTGGAAAAGACTTTGATGTTGGGAAAGTGTGAAGGCAAGAGGAGAAGGGGACAACTGATGATGAGATGGTTGGACAGCGTCATCGAAGAAACCAACATGAATTTGACACAACTCCGGGAGGCGGTGGAAGATAGGAGGGCCTGGCATGCTCTGGTCCATGGGGTCACGAAGAGTCGGACACGACTAAACGACTGAACAAACAAACAAACAAACAAAGACTATGACATCTGCTAACCTCCCACAAGTCTTCCCTGTTTCCTTTGAATTTAGCTGCAATTCCCAGGAATAGGATATTTTTGCAATCCTGTTTTAAAGCAAAGCATTTGAGGCTGGTTGGTCTTGAAGTAGCAATTAAGAGCCATTAACCTTGTGCAAGATTTGCTTCTCATATGTTGACATGAACAGCCGTGCATGTTTGCACTCTCCTTTATTAGGGTGGTTGCCTATGGCAACTCTCACGATAAGCACTTTTACTTCTAAATCTAAAACTGTACCACCTTATAGCACCCATTGTTCACCACCAACATGGCTGTTACATAATGCATGAATTGGCCAAGATCAACAAAGTCTTTTCAAAAGAAATAAATTCAACAATCTGCGAAGAAAAACAAAGCTAAGAAAGAAGGCATGCCAGCACAAATAAATGAGGAGGATGCAGATACTGAACACACATAAGCACAATCTTAGAGGGACCAAACCACCTTAGATATGAGTGGGGAAACAGCTTCCTAAAACAAACAAAACCTTACAGCATAACCTATGTTAACCTGCAGTGCTCAGACCAGAAAGGAATGCATACAGCTAACTTTGATGTGATCCTTTTGAACAATATCTGAGGAACAAACTAAAAGTTCTGTTGTAGGCATGGATAACTAAGCCCTGATGGCTTCCTCTACTTGACAAAGCAGTCATGGCAGTAAGAAGAAGGAGAGAGTATATGACCCTTATTCCTTCCTTGCCTGTTTGCTTTCACTGTTAAGTTTTATCCCAGGCTGTTGTTACCCTATCTGAACGCATGTTTGTGAGGTAAACATAGGTCTGGAACGCTGGAGAGAGTTCCAACAACATCAGGACCCAGACACTGTATCCTTGGAGGACAAGTCCCCTGACTTAATGGCTCAAGCAGAGGGCTCAAGGTTTTTTCTGTCTCCTTAGGACCTAGTTCCCAAAGAAGTCTTCCAGGACAAGATATCCCCTTGCCAGTGTCTGGAAGAGGTTGCTGTCTCTCTTTACATTCTGACAAATTTAGCCATCAGGATGCTGTTATGCCGCAGTCACTTCCATGGTATCACACAAACTATGGCCTCTGTGGGAATGGAAGCAGAGCTAGCTAGTGTAAATGCAGCCAATATATTTCAGCCTTCTTCATCATCTGCTGCTTGTCGAAGCAACTTACAGGCATGTTTGTATCATTGTATTCTGTTGTGCTATGCCTGCCGCTCTGGGAAACTTGACTTGCCCCAAGAAGTTGATAAGAGCCGCGCCCATAGCAAATAACCTGTAAGCTGAGCCTCACAGAGCCCAGTGACACAGATCCTCCCTGCAAGACTGCTGACTGAAATAGAAGGGTTTCAAGCAAATAAGAGAAATTTTAGGGGGAAATTAGCTGAGGGAAGAATTACATAGGAAGCAGCTGTATAATCTTAACTGACCATTGGTCCATTTTACTCAGTACTGTCCATCCTGACTGGCACTGGCTCTCCATGGTATCCTGTAGGAATCTTTCCTCACCTTGCTTTCCTTAAGCCAGTGGTATTCGGTTAGTCCCCCATCCAAGTACTTTCCAGGCCCAAGCCTGTTTAGCCTCAAAAATGAGACATCAAGGTGTCAAGGGTAGTAAAATAGAGGTAAATCACTTCCTGTTTATTATACAAATAAATATTCCTTCTTGTGTTCAAATTTCTAATACTGTGAATGCTTTGCAAAAGTGAAGGGGGATTTGGGCTTTGTTAACCATGACTGGTCGGTCACAAATAACTTGCCTGACATGTGTGATTCAGAGCTGGTGTTGTTCTGTTCCTTACCTGAATGTCTGAGTCATCCTCCAGCTGAAGGATTCTAGAGATTATAGAATTTTCTTCTGTACATAATACATTTACTGACGTGATGCAAATCATACTGAATGTTGAAGCATGTACCATTTACCAAGTGTAATTAGGAATTCTGCAATTTTAGCATTACACTAAAATATTGAATCTGAATATGTACCAGTTTTACCACCTGTAAAACTAGATGCTATTACCTCAGACCATACTGAACATTGCTAAAATAAAAATCCAGACATTTTTGAAACTTTGAATTCAGTTTCGGATATGTGATGCATATATGATGTAAGCCATTATCTGTGTCAAGCTCAGTGATAACCAAAGGTCATGGTTATCTTATCCTGGGTTACAAGAAATACAGTGCGGCATGGCTCAGTCTAATTAACACAGGTATTATTGCCTCTTTGTTTCACAGGACAGAAGGAGGTGTTTGTAAAGGTGCAACTGTAGGTGTTCTTCTGGACCTCAACAAGCACACGCTGACCTTTTACATAAATGGCCAACAGCAGGGACCTCCAGCATTTGAAAATGTGGAGGGTGTCTTCATGCCTGCATTAAGCCTCAATCGAAATGTGCAGGTAAAACCATTTTCCCTTGGGTCTCGGGAAACTTCTATGCAGGCCAATGGTAAAAACAATCTACAGAAGTTCTGTGAGTGCATAAAGTTAATTATAGTTAAGGAATAACGGACAACTATTGTACATTCCCTTTATTGCTTTAGTCTAACTGATCTCCAGAACACTAGAGTACTCAGATAAAGCTTAAGTAATATTTTGGTGGTATCTGTGGTGGCCACTACATTGCCATTGTCTTGTACAACTAGTATAACTAGCCATCTGTGAGAAAGAAGCTGGCAGTTGGAGTTCAGTTCCACATTAAGTCTTGTAAGAGAAATGCCAGCCTGAAGAAGGGAATGGGAAACCACTTCTAAGTATTTTATATCTAGAAAACTCTGGGAAGGGTTGATGTAAGTCGGAATTGACTTGAAGGCACACCATTACTATTTGTTGTTGCTGTTGCTTTTGTTATAGTTGTTACTGGAAGGGGAAAAATCATTTTTGTTGCACAAAACAGGTAGCTAACGTTGTATCTGCTGCCTTTCATGTATCTTGTGTAAATCTTCTCCTTTGACTCAAAGAACTGCAGAGGGGAACAGAAAGGGCTTTATACAATCACTTGGCGTAGATGAGTACACAGCCTTTGAGTGTGGGGGTAGAGCTGGAGATGCACGTGTATGTGTGCAAACAGGCATGTGGATGGCAGTCTCCCCACTGGCCCATCCACATGTAATTCAACCTGCATGGAGATGAACTTTTAACCCTCCCTTTCCTGACTTTGAAAAATTGCTGGTAGGTGGGAGTGAAGGTTTCTCCTATTTCTCTGATATCTCAGAATACAACGATCCCTCCTCCCCCATGCACACCACTCTCCAGTTGATTGAGGAATATTTAGGTCCGCAAAGGCTTTCACAGCCGAGACCTAATGGTTGTTGTGGGTTTTTCGGGCTCTTTGGCCATGTTCTGAGGGTTGTTCTTCCCAACGTTTCACCAGTCTCTGTGGGCGG